ACATAAATGAATGAAAAATATTCTACAATAAGCCTTTTTTCTGAAAATACAAAATCATAAAATTGCTTACATTACACAGGGCTACAAAAACTTTTTTTTAAAGAAAAACGAAATAAATATTTCTTTTAAATTTGAATTGTTAAATCCGAATTCGTAAGCCATTTTGCCCCTAGTTTTTTAAACAATCGAAAAAAATTTTGGAAAATTTGTAAAAATTAAAACATTTAACAAAAATTCTAGTTATGGATTCTCGAAATTGAACTAATATAAAAAAATCAAGCAACTCAGAGTGCGGTGCGGTACTTGGTGTATAATCATTGATTACATGTGTACAAAGACAAATTGTATTTTAACTTGTTTTACAATCGAATGTTTCAATCAACACTGGGGGTTATCATCAGAGAAATCACAATGAGAAAAAAAAGAGTTTCCACCTTTCTGTGTGTAAGACGAATCCCCATTTAGCTGCATAATTCTAAATCTTTCGCATGGTCCAAAACCGGTGATGATTACAAAATGGCAAATGCCAATGAGATGTTAAACAATTATTATTTTTAAATAATGTCAGTTAAAGTTATACAAACTCACTTGAAGATAGAAGCACGAAATATAATATATTAGGTTAAGTAAAAAGTCATCGCGTTTTTTTAAAAGACATCTATCAGTAAAAACAGCAATTACTTTCTTACCAACAATATAAATATATCTTGATAGAGTAAAGTTTCAGCTTTAAAAATCTCTTTTTTAAATTATACGATACGACATTTTTTAATGGAGTTATGAGCAATTAAAGTCAAAATAATTCTTTTATTATATTTAATCCGCGATAACTCAGTAATCAAAAGTCGTAGGAATATTTAAAAAAAAACGATTTTGTAGGGAAAGTATCAAGCTTTCACGATAGGTAATCGAAAATTTTCTCAAATTCGTTTTGGACACATTACAAAGTGAGAAGAAAATTTTTCGTCTTTTTCAGCTCGTAGTTTTTGGTATGTAAAAATTATCAAACTCATATAAACTTAAAAAATGTGATAAGCTTTTAAAAGTAGAGATTTCAAGCTTTAAAACCCTTTTTTTTAATTTGAATTTCATTCATTCTTGACGAAGATATTGTATATACAACTTTGAGCTAAAAAATACGCGATGACTTTTTACTCAACCTAATATATTGCAAAAATTAAAAGCTAGAATCCATACGTCAAACTTCAAAAAGCAACGAGATACAATTAAAGATATTAGTTGTATCGGCGTTAGAATTGTTTGAAAAGATTATTTGTGCGCAAAATGAAGGTAAAAATTAATAAATGAATACATACAAGGTCTGTTCAAAAAGTATCGCGAATTTTGAATTTCCGCTGGTTACGTATATTCGATTTTCGATTTTTTTGTGGCGTTATGTTGATACTCATGTCTCTCACTTATGCCGACAAGTTCGGCCATTTTAAATGTTCAGTTAATTTTTGACAGCTGCTTTGCTTGCACGTGTTTTGGCTCGTCTTCGATTTTTGCCTATTCCAAAAAATGGATCAAAGAATCTGTATCAAATTTTGTGTGAAAAACAAAATTAAGTGCGCGGACGCATTCCGAATGTTGACTGTGGCATATGGTGAAGCTACCTTGGACCGAAGCAACGTTTATCGGTGGTACAAAATGTTCTCAGAGGGCCGAGAAGATGTGAACGACGAAGAGCGTGCCGGACGCCCGAGCACGTCAACAACAGACGAAAACATTGATGAAGTGAAGAAAATAGTATTGGCCAATCGGAACGGTCAATAAGGAATATTACCTGCAAGTTATGCGCAATTTGCGCGAAGCAATCCGCCAGAAACGCCCGGATTTGTGGAAGAACAAAAATTGGCTTTTGCACCATGATAACGCCCCTGCTCACACATCGTTGCTTGTGCGCGAATTTTTGACCAAAAACAACACACTAATGATGCCGCAGCCACCGTATTCCCCAGATCTGGCCCCCTGTGACTTTTTCTTGTTCCCGAAACTGAAGAGGCCCATGAAAGGACGACGCTACGCTACGATTGAGGAGATAAAGACGGCATCGAAGGAGGAGCTGAACAAGATCACAAAAAATAATTTTTTGAAGTGCTTCGAGGATTGGAAAAAACGTTGGCACAAGTGTATAATATCTGATGGGGATTACTTTGAAGGGGACAAAAGATATTCATGTATAAATAAATAATTTTTGAAAAAACACAAAATTCGCAATACTTTTTGAACAGACCTCGTATACAACAGAAAATATTTTTCTTTTAATCGGTCTGTCAGCTTAAAAGCTCCTATTTCATACCAAAAGAATATCCCTAAACTTTATCAAAAAATATTAAGATTTAGAGATCGCTAGTAAACAACTCTTCGATTGTTTTAAATACATGTTTGATTTGAAACAAAAATGATTTAAATGAAATCGAATTTTGAATGTGGTACTGTATATTTTTTTGATCGCTGAACAATGTAATCATTCATTTAGCTCTACGATATACGTCTTAAAAAATACAGCCCGATTAATGAAAAATGATCAAATTTTGAGTTTAAGGTCGATTTTAGCAAGAATTCAAATGGATCGTTACTCCCCTCAAATTGTAGGTCTGTTCACGCAGAACAAGATCCAGTTGGAATTTTCCTAGAGCCTTTAAAAGTTGTAAAAAACTGGATTATAAACTATTTTTGCATCAAATCAAACATGTATTAAGGAAAATCGAAGCTCTGATTTAAAAATTGTTTACTAGTGATCTCTAAATCTTAATATTTTTTGATAAAAATTTAGGGATGTTCTTTTAACATAAAATGTAAGCTTTTAAGCTGAAAGATCGTTTAAAAAAACATTTTTTTTTCTTGTCAGTCTAATATACAGGGGTTTCCGTAAGTTTTGATCAATCTTTTGTGTAGATAGAGCGGACTAAACTGAATCGAAAAGTCCTCGACCATTTTGCAATTTTCGCAATAATTAACAAGATATTAATTACTAAATATTGCCAAATATTGGTTTTGAATAATTTTTTTATTCAAATAACTAACAACTTTACAGAAAAACTGTAAATATTATTTATTGTCTTCTCATAAAGTTCTGAAAAATTTTCAGAATTTTTTAATATCGTATTTTCTAATGTTGGTAAAAATAAGAAAATGCGGCACTAAAAAGTTGATAAAAAATTCTGAAAAAATTCTTAGCGTTCTATGAGAAGAAAGTAAATAATTGTTATCTCTTGCAGTTTTTTTTTGTAAAGTTTGTAGTATTTGAGTAAAAAATCATTCAAGACCAATATTTGGCAATTTTTACTAATTAATAACTATTGCGAAAATTGCAAAATGGAGGCTTTCTCGACTCAGTTTAGATCGCTCTATCTACACAAAAGTGATTGGCCAAAATTTACGGGACACTCTGTATACAGAATAAAATATTATTAGCATTCATGTAAAGTCACTAACACATGAGATTTAAAACTCATTCAGAATATCTACGTACGCATGATTAAGACATTCAGTATCTAACTGTAAATTTAAGCTATTTTTGTAGTTTAATAAATAACATTTTGAATGTTAAACGTTTATTCAAAAATCTTTCGGTATCTAGAATTTTTACGCTCGTCCAATCAAATTCGTGATTGTAACCCAGTATATGATCTGTGATTATCTGTGATTGGAAGGTAGTGTTCTTATTTATGTGATTATATTCTGAAATCTTGGTTCTTAGTTTCCCATCTGTTTGCTCTCCGTAGATTGCGTTACAATCAATATATGAAATTTGATAAACTATTGTATGTTTTTCTTTGATTCATTTCACATCTTTGTGGGCTTTAATAAATCTATTCATTTTATTGAAACTATAAAAAACTAGTTTAACATTTAAATCTATCGTTATGTTTTTAA